GCCACCTGTGCCAGGTAGGGCTGTCGAGTGGCCGCCGTCGGCGCGCCCGGTGGAGAGGCAGTGGGGGGACACCTGAGCCCTGCCAAGCCCGCTGACAGGGACCTCTCAGGCCTCCTTTCCCGATTCTGCTCCTCACCAAGTACACGGCTGGGCCGGGCGCTCGCGATGGATGGGGAGCCCTGAGTCAGGGGATCTCAGCAAGCTCACCCTGTGTCCATTTGATCGATAAGAAAACTGAGAGCAGAGGCTGGCACAGGGGCTCAGTGGCTTGCATGCGTGGAGCATGCGCTGGGCACAGGAGGGGAGGCCACCCGCCGGGAAGGTGACGGCTCAGACAAGTGTCCCTGGGTGTTATCTATGGGACCTGCAGACAGCGGCTCTGGCTGGATTGTTCTGCCTGGGACTGGGGAGCCAAGAGCTGTGTCCTCTTCGGAAAGGAGAGACTACTTGCGAGCTGGGGGCGCCTGGGCTGTTCTGTGGGTGCAAAGGGGGACCACGCCATGCTGCCTCCCACCCAAGGCTGCGGGGGCGCAGAGAAGGTCCGTGGCGAGTGCCCTGGCATCGGGACATTGGCGGGGTGGTCGGAATTGTATCCTCACCGGGCTGTTTGAGCTTAGCCTTGACATTCTAGAAGGCTGTGCAGCCACGCCTCGGGTCCGCTGACTGGGCACTGGGAGTGCTGCTGGGGCTGGCAGGGACCAGGGCCGCACTCCCGCACAGCCTGGGCCCCAGGGAGGGGCTCCGGGTCCCTGCTGCCTCCTCTGGACACTGCAGGGCAGCGCAGAGGCCCTGGCCACGGCATACACGGGCGAGCTGGCCGGCCCGCCTAGGTGCCACTGCCTTCCTCATCTCGGCGGGGCCAGCTCACCTGACCAACCTCCGGCTCCCATCCATTTCCAGTCCAGCCCTTGTGCTTCCTCGACCTGACCTTCAGAAACTGTACCCGGCTGGGAGTCTAAACTCAGCCACGGGAGCTGGTAGAGGGCGCCCAGAGCAAGGCCAAGCACACTCCAGGGCCTCAAGACCTGCTCATTTCTCTCTCTGGTCACTCACACGTCAGTGATAGAGGCGCCCCTGTGCACATGGGGCACCCGAGGCTTTGCCTGCATGGTCACGAGGGGCTGCGGGAGTGTGGAGCAGGGGAGTAGCCCAGGGTGGGAGTATCCAGGAAGGCTCCCTGTGGGGTGCGGGGGTGGGGTTGGAAGGAGGGACCCGCAGTGGCCAGGTCAAGTCTTGCCTTCGCCGTATTCCTGAAAGACCAAACCCAGGTCTTCCTAAGATCTAGTATGTGCCACCCAGAGCCTGGAAATAAGGGCCTGGAGAGACGTCCAGTTTGCGCCTTGGCCCAAGGAGTGACAGTCTTGCTGGGGAGAGGCCACTCGTAAGGAGTTCTCAGCTGGATTGAAGTGGTGATCGCACTTCCTTCTCAGTGTCGATTCCACATTTCCCCCCCCCAAGGCAAGGACGCCCACACTCTGCCTGCACCCCTGGAGTGCAGAGACCCAGGGCACCGGCCCCCGAGCTGTGTTCACAGGGCACGCAGATGCCTCTGTCCCGCTCAATGCACTCAGAAGCTGGACGCCCGCCTCCTCCCTTCCTCACCCCACTGCCACCGGTGACTCAACTCTTTGATCTGGATCTTGCTTCAAGCCCCAGTCTGTAAGGTGCTAGCTCCTGGGGAAGCTTTCGCCTTGCCGAGCTTCGTGACTGTCCGCACTGCCAGGCCTTCATGGCATGGGCTGACTCCCCAGCTACTCTGGGCAGGAGCCGCCATGGCCCTCAGGCCTGCGGGACCCAGGGTGGGGCTCCGTCCAGGAGTTGTGGCCACAGCACTCGGCTGATGGCAGGGCCCTGGGGGACCCGCCCGCCTCGGAGCCGAGGAGAGTTTAGCATCCTGGTTCCTGCGGGCTGGGGAGGTGGCAGGGGAGCAAGATGGATACGGGGCAGTGCGGCAGGCGGCCGGACCAGGTCCACGGCTGGCCAGCCACCATCTGCTGTGCGAAGCCAAGTGTGACGTAGCCTCCGGAAGCCTTGAAGTTGTCCCTCTGTGGAGGGAGGCGGCGGTGGCGCACCTGCAGTGTGGCCACAGGCCACTGGTGCCCAGTGAGGCGCAGCGTCTGGAGCACAGTGTTTCCCTCCGGGCCCTGGTGGCGAGGGGAGAAGCTGCGGCAGGCAGGAGGGTGTAAAGTCTGCGCCCACCTGTGCATGGGGCTGGACACCACGCCCCCCGCCACTGGCACACGGAGGCCAGGCGCCGCGGGAACCGCTCCCGAAGCGCTGTGGGGGCGAGAACCGGCAGCTCCTGCACACCCCAGGGGCTTGGGCGTCACGGGTACGAGCCCACTCTTAGAGGCCACTGAGGCTCTCCCCACGGGGAGCAAGCTCATTCCCCATTGCAGGAGGCAGCAGGAGACTGGGGCACGGGCAAGGGACAGCGGGAGAGCCTGCAGCTGCGCTCTGAGCCGGCCCGGTGGCTGTCGCTGGTGGGCTCTGGCCTGGCCCGTCCGCAGGACACCTGTGCCCTCAGTCTGCCCCCCACTTGCCCCGTGATGGTTGGCTCAGGACAGCACTTCCTGACGCCAGGTCAGCTCCCCAGAGAGCATGCGTGGCGAGGGCTGCTGTCTGAACCGTTCCCACCAGGCAGCGCCCGCTTTACACTGGGGGAAAACAAAAGAAAACAAGGACCCCCAGCAAACTCAGGGCTTTTCTCAGAGCACTTCTGCACCGTGGCCTCCCTCGTTGGGGGCGCGGGGCTCAGTCCAGGGGCAGTGGCAGGATCTTCGAAGGCCCAGTCCGTCAATCTGCCTCCCTGGCGCCAGTCTGGAGCCAGCAGTCCAGAGACGCACGCAGAGTGGATGGGGAGCCCCGGGGCTCTGGGTCTGGGATGGGCAGAAAGGGGGCCGGGTGGACCCAGGAGGGGAGCAGCCAGGAGGTGGCCTGCTGCACTCAGCTGGGTGGGCGGGCACGTGTTGGCCACGGAGGGGCCTGTGCAGCCCTGTCCCCTCGAGCCATGCTTGTGACTGCCGATCACTACGACAAAAGGAGTTGGCTCTGGCCACGTGTGGGGGTGCTGGCAGTGGCTCGGGGGTGCAGCGGTGAGGTGCAGGGGTATTCCCGGCAAAGGGCAGTGGATTAGGGTAGGGGTGGGCTCTCTCACCCTCAAGGGGCCCTTCCAAGCCCGTGCTGTCTTGTGCGTTCATGGGGAGAGTTCTGCACCCTGACACTGGCTCCCAGGTTGCAGAGACCACTGGGGCAGAGCCAGCCCAGGCCCTGCGGGAGGGTTCACAAGGCTCCTCTGGGCCCCTTCTCTTGGTAGGGAAGGGGGAGCGGGAGATGGACGCCCCGGGGACACAGACCTATGAGACTCTGGCATGAGGTCTATTTGGCTTGAGGGCCCCTAGGAGACCAGAGGTCTCCACAGAAGTTGCAGAAGGCACTGCCCGGAAGCCCTCCTGGGCCCTTGAGGCCAACTATCCCTCACAGGACCCAGTTGCATAAAACGTACTTGTAGGATGGCGAGGGCTAGTCGCAGCCCTGGGGAATGGCCGGGGCCACGGCCCCTTGGCCCCTCAGAGCTCGGGCTCCCTTGCACCTTGGCTGGGAGCTGGCCTCCTCCAGACATGTACTTCCCAGGGCGCCTCCAGCACTGACGCCAAGAAGTCTAGATTCTGGGGTGTTGGGGGCGGATGGGAGGAGGTGAAATTCCAGACTTTCATGCAGAAGTCATTTACCTGTAAAGCACATTTACAAATACACCCCCCCCCATGCCTTCTTTTTCCATAGTACATTTTTTCCCTCTGCAATCCAAGTCTCCTCCAGCTCTTTTTTCCACTCACTGTGCTTCTTTCCTGCCGCCCAGTTGGGCTCCAGGCGGGACCCCCGGGAGTAGAGCATCATGGCCTTTTTCTCAGCAGCTCCAGCCAGTGAGAGGGGCCTCGGGGGCTCCTGAGAGCTGTGCTCTGAGCAGCAGATGAGGGGGCCCGGATGTGACCCCACCGCTTGGCCTTCACTCTGGTGGGCCTCTGAAGGCCCCTTCCCCCGGACCCGCTCCCAGACCTTCTGGATCATGGGCACAGCCGCCATAGATGCTCCTTGCGGTTCTCAGAGGCGGCTGCAGCCGGGGCTCTGGTGCACAATGGCCTCATCACGAGACAGGCCCCAGAGGCTGCTCCGTGGAGCGGGACATTTGATCAGTTCAGCCTTTTGGCCCTAAGAATCAGGTCGACCGCCTGAGTGCTGCTGGCTTAGATCCGCCTGGGCCCTCGGTTGGACAGCTGGCCTGGAGAAGCGTGCCCAAGGCGGATGGAGGTCATGTTCCCTGACTTACAGTCCCCAGCTGCGTCACACTCCACCATATCCTGTGTGGGGCCTGGCGCCTTTCATCTGCATCCAGCCCTGAGAGGGCTGGCCCGTCCACCCTGCACCTCCTGCTGCGGCCTCCTGTGGGAGCCGGCCCCTCGGCCCAGACTCTCCCTACAGCCACAGGTCTTTGACCTCCAGGGGGTTCCGGAGGGAGCCGGGCAGGGAGGGAGGCTGTGTCCTGCGCCTGCCCGAGCACAGCGCCTTCCCTGAGGCCCCTCCTGGGGACACGGAGCGCCATCTTCAGTCCCAGAGGGCCCTGGCCCTCCCTGCGGCTGGAGAGAGGCGGGTGAGATGGCAGATTAGGGGCCCGGCTGGCTCCACAGCTTCTGTTTCAGGTCCGGGGCTGTGAGGCCAGCCACAGTGGGAAGCTCTCCAAGGAAGGGCAGGCTGTGCGCAGGCGCTGGGCTTTGCCTCCGAGTCACCGTGCCCGGAGCTTCTGTAGGACCTCTCATGAGGGGCTTACCCACAGGGGGTCACCCACCACGAAGCTCAAAGGCATTTGCCTGAAACAAAGCCAGCGAGGATGTACTGCTGATTCCGGAAGGGGCCTTACGCACAGGGCGCTGCTGGAACCCTTTCCCCGGGCTGGAGGGCTTCTCTGGCCAAGGGCGACTCACAATAAGAATGAACAGGAGCCCCAGCGCACATCAGGCCCGCCACCAGGGCAGGTCTTCCAGCAAGTCGCGCTGGCAGCCCCAGGTGGACTTGAGCCAGAAGGACCCCAGCCAGGCATCCCGGAGCCTCGTGGTGACAGAGCCGACCTCAGGCTCCCCTCACAGGCCTTGCTTTCCGTGGTTGCATCAGCCACGCCTTTACCCAGCGGCGAGGAACTAAGGCCGGTGGGACGCGGGCATCTCTTCCCCCTGTGCGGCCTTCTCTGCGCCCCATGTGGCACCAGGTGAGGCAGGAGCCAGCTACTCTATGCATCTCAGGGACCAGCTCTCGGAGACTCGGGCCTGTCATCACGAACTCGCCCCTCCTGACCCAGAGCGGGGCTCAGAGGCTTCTGCTGAAGCCATGTTTGAGGGCTCTGCCTATGTCGGGGTCCCCTGGCCCTGGGCCACGTGAAAACACGGGCGGAGAGTCACCACAAGCGACCCGAGTCTGGCCCGGCAGCTCCCTCCCACCCGGGGCAGCCTGGGCCCCGATGCTTTCACCCACACGTCACCTGCCATAGCGGCGCTTGGCACCGGGCTTGAGCGGCCAGTGCTCTGTCTGCAGCGCTTGTGGACGTGGATGGGGCTGCTGAGGAAGGCGTCTGCGTCAGGGGCATCTGCATTAGGGACTGGGGAGACGGGGGACGCAGGCGCAGCTGAGCGAGGGCAGGCGGTTGCGAACCGGGGCTGTGGGGGCCGCTGCATGTCGGCGAAAGAGGCAGATGTACCCGGAGCTCAGAGGTACCTGCAGCCTGAGCCAGGCCAGTGACGTCGGGGGCGGGGTGCAGCTTCTCGCCTGGGTGTGGGTTCCGACCTCTTCCCGACGCCCATGGCTTGGGCCGGGTCCCCCCACATTGAGCGCCTGTCCCCAAGGGCTGCCCCACTCTTCAGCCCCTGGAAAGGCTCCACTTTCTGATGCTTTCAGGCTTATTATTCTCGAAGGAAGCCTGGCCCCACCTTTGCCCAGACAGCCGAGGTCTCAGCTGTACAAGGGGCAAAGGGGTCCCCACCAAGTTTCGCGCCCCCTTGCTGCGGGCATGTCCTTGTACCGCTTGGCCAAGAACCACCCTGCCCTGCATTCTGCACATGCCTGAGTCTGTCCAACTTCTCAGGTGGCCGCTGTGTTTCTGATTTGGTGAAACCCTTGCAGGCAATGCGGTGGGCAGGCCTGTCCACTGGTGAGTCCCTGCAGGAGCCTGCGGGAGGTCGCCAGCTGAGGCCAGAGGAGCAGCGGCGCCGGTGCAGCCAGTCAGGAGATAGGCAGAGCAGGGTGTCGGGCAGCGGCATGGCCCACGAGCCTGCCCAGTGGGTGCCCCAGGGCTGCTGGGATGGGCCAGTGGGCTCTGTGTGGTCCAGGGGGCCTGTGCGCTGAGCCCTGCCCGCTGGAACTCTGACGTGGCTGGCCTGGGCGGGGACTGGGCGTGTGGACTCCCACGCGACGTGACGAGGTGGCGTTCCTGGCATTCCGCAGGCTCCTGCCAGTTCTTGCTGATGTGGCAGATTTGGTTTTCTCTGGGCCAACTGCCCTCCTTGCTGGTTTCAGTGCACCCCTGACCTCCACGGAGACGTGTCCAGGCCTTGCCAGCTGGCAAGAGGAGCCCAGGGGTGGCAGCTCTGCCTGCGGAGTGCGTGGCTGGCTGGGCCCGCTCCCTGGCGTGCTGCTCACCCGACTCCAGCCCCTCTCTCGAGCCCACGGGGCCAGCTGTGCAGGTCAAGGCTGGCTGCACCCAGCCCCTACTGGGGTACACAGCCTTCCTGGGGCTGTGGGGGCCTTAGTGCCCTCTGTGACCACCCCTCCTGGGCACAGGAGGGCAGAGCCAGAGTCGAGGTCAGAAAGCAGGAACAGGAGAGAGCCAGGGACCGGCTACGTGAGCCCAGAGGACTCAACACCTCCTGTGTCCCAGACATGGTGGCAACCCCTCACCACACCCACCCTCGCCTGGTGCCTGAGGGTCACTAGCAGTTGGCAGGGAGACGCCAAGGCGTGCCTCACCAGAGGTGGAGCCAGGCCCTGAACCACCAGGGCTGCTCGCCCAGCGCTGTGTTCCAGCTGCCCAGACCACTGCCAGGCCCCTCTCCCAGCCTGCCACTCAGCTCCGGTCTGGCCGTGCTGCAGAGCTCTCTAGAAGGGTCCTCCCACAGGCCTCCCCAGGTGCAGACAGGCGGGTGTGTCGCCAAGCGGCAGCCAGTGAGCGAGTGCACGACCCTCGCTGGCGCCCAGCTGCTGCTGCCAAATGCCCAAAGCACAGCCTGGCTGTGCCAGGGCCCACAAGGTGGCCGCAAGCCATGACGGGCACTTGTGCTGGCCTTCGCCCCCAGGTGCCCTGCGGACTACAGTGAGGCGGGCAGCGCGGAGCAGACACCATGAGCATCTCGGCCCTGGGGAGCAGCGGCAAAGGTGAGACATGCGCTCCTGGGTCCCGGGCTCCACGTTCCAGGCCGGGCCTGCCAGGGCGGGCAGCGCAGTGACAGGACGCGGCCAGAGGGCTGGAAGGGTGCCCTGGCCGCGGGCTGGGCTACCTCCGACTGTGCCCACCTTGCTTGCGCCAGGGAAGGCTCTCCCGCCTGGCGAGGAGGAGCGCAAGAACGTCCTCAAGCAGATGAAGGTGCGGACCACGCTGAAGGGGGACCAGAGCTGGATCACCAAGCAGGATGAATCGGAGGGGCGCACCCTGTAAGTGCAGGACGCTGCGGCCGGCGGGACGCGGTGGGGGTCTACCTGCGGGGCTTGCCCTCCCCGGCCCAGCCCCGCGCCGTGCGTGCAGACCAGCGGGGAGGTGGGCCAGGCGGATGCAGTGAGTGCAAGACTGCGCCCGCGGAAGTCACGGGCACACGGAGGGGCCGGCAGGCAGCCTGCCTGGGGCTCAGCAGCTGCACCTGGGCCCAGGTAGCTCCTCAGTGGAGACTGTCGGGAGGCTGATGGCAGGAGGCCTGGAAGCCACTGTGGGCCCTTTCTCCCCAGAGAGCTGCCGCCCGCCCGGTCTCGCGCCACGTCCTTCTCATCAACTGCGGATGTCTTGAAGGCCAGGTAAGAGCTGGTACCCTGATGCTGGTGGGCGTGCCCCTTGGCAGCCCTTGGGGCCGGAGGGAACCCCAGCTGAGGAGTGAGGCATTTGCAATGCGCAGCCTTGGGACCAGCGGCCTCCTGGCCGGCTGCCACAGCTGCAGGGGTGCACGGGGTGCATTCGTCCTGAGACCCCGCAAGGCGGGCCACGCCCTGCACAGCTTTGGCGCTCACACAGAACGCCCTCCCTTGTGTGGCCCTGCCAGCTGGGGGCACCCGGCAGTCAGCATGCCAGGGACACTCACGTTTGCGCCAGTATCTCCCCAATTCAGGGTGACACCTGTCCTCTCCCTGCTCTGAGGCCTTTTGCATCACGGAAACTTGGGGCGTGGAGTGCAGATCCCGCAGGAGCTGGCCGAGGCAGGAGGGTGGTCTTGCCCCACCCCCGTCTGCAGCGCCCACGCCTGCAGCACCCACGCCTGCCTCCTCAACCAGGTTGGCACGGTCCAGGGTGCTTCAGGGATAGTCTCTGTGTTGGGTACGCACCAACACGTGCACACCGGCTGCAGCTGCCACCCTGGGCTTCGGCTTGGGGGACCTGAGAAGCACATCCTGAGGTGCTGTGGCCGGGCCCAGAGCAGGGGAGCCTCGTGGCCCGCGGAAGAGTGGCTCTCAGGGGCCCAGGGCCCCAGCCCCCTCTTGGCACTCCTGCAGCTACAGCGGGCAACGAGCTTTCTTTCCTAGGGCCACCGCTGGGGCTGCGCTGGGGAACAGTGCCTGGCAGAGAGCACGGCCCTGCCATACCTCCCCTGCCCTACAGGGGTTCCCCTCCTTCCCCCACGGGTCCAGCTTCAAGCCTCTCTGTTCCTGGCTGGAGAGCCCACCTGCTGAGTCCAGCTGGCCACCCGGCACTGTCAGCTCCTGGCTCCACACCCGAGGTTCTGAGCCCCTCGGTGGCGCCCAAGCTCAGGCACCAGATACTCTGCAGCCAGTGCCCACGCCCCAGCCACAGCCTCGGGTGCCACTTCACTGAAATGCATGAGCCAGGCTTCCCTGGGCCTGGAGGAGGGCGGCCCCAGAGAAGCAGAAGTGAGGGGCTGCCCCATGTCGGGGCTCTGCATACGAGTCCTCATCGCCTCCCGGAGGAGGCCCTGCCGGGGGCACGGGCGGCGAGCGCCTGCCTTCGTGGCACTGGTTTGGAGCCGGCTGGGTGGTGCGAATCAGGCCCTCTGACCTCTGCGGGACAACCTCGAGCTAGGGCTGTGCTGTCCCCGGGAGCCGCCCGCAAGGTCTCCGCTCACGCGTCTCTTCCGTTGGCAGGCCTCCGAGCGCAAGGGCTCCCGCTGGCTACATCATCCGGTAGGTGACCGTGGCCGCCTGCCCACCTCCCCGTGCCCTCCGGCTGGTCCTGGGAGCTCACTGGCTTTGGGCTCTCTTTCAGGGGGGTGTTCACCAAGCCCGTAGACAGCTCAAGTCAGCTCCAGCAGCAGCTCCCCAAGGCCAATGGCGCTCCGAAGAGGTGTGTGCACAGCGAGGCAGCGGGGCGTGCGGGCCGGGGTCAAGTGTCCGAGGGCATGCCTGTGTGGGGGCCCGGGGGCCAGTGTGGGGGTCGCACAGAGGCTGCCGGCGGGCTTGGCCTGGCTCCAGCCCTCTGGGAGTCGCAGTGGCCATAGTGGTGACCGGGCCTGGCAGCTGGGACGAGGTGCAGGAGGAGGCCGCTGCGTGCTGCCATCCAGCTTCTTCCGGGCTGAAGCTGGGGCAGGGGTTGGGCCTGCCTGTGGGGTGGTGAGTACTTGCCACATGCCTGCTGGATCTTGTAGTCAGGTGTGGAGGCCCAGGGTCCTCCGGGCTGGGCACACAGAGCACATGAAACTCGTCCCCTCTGCAGCGCCACGGGCCTGGCGAGGGCAGCTGCTGGGCCACCTCGCCTCTCCTCCTCGGGCTACAAGATGACCACGGAGGATTACAAGAAGCTGTGAGTACACCAGCCCAGGCTGTGCCGCTGGCCCTGGCTTCTGAGCTGGGCGTGCTCTGAGGCGACGGCCCTGCAGCAGGGCGGCTGTGCTTGATCTGAGCGCAGCTGGTACATGGGGCTGCTGGGCCTGTGGCGGCCACAGGTTGCTGGCTGGCTGTGCGCCCTGCGCCTCTGAGGGCCCGGCTGGCAGTGTGGGCCAGCGGGCGGCGCGCTGATGACACTAAGCGTGCCACGGCCCCACCAGCACACGCGTCCCCTCCTGCGTGTGGGGTCTCTGCACTGAGACGTGGTGTCCCAGGTGTCACATGCTTCTAGTGTTCATTCCCGGGCACTGTGCCCACCGCCGGGGGCAGCTAGGGAGGCTCCCGGAGAGCGCAGAGGCGTGAGCAGGGTCTGGGCTCAGTTACGGTGGGGCGCGTGGAGGCAGGCTGCTGAGGCATTCGGCTCTTCAGGACCCCCCACCCTTCTCCCAGGGCCCCCTACAACATCAGACGCAGCTCAGCATCAGGGGACCCCGACGACGAGGAGGCGCCGTTCTCCTCTGAGGAGCAGAAGCGCAGGTAACTGCGGACTTCGGGGCATCGGCGCCGCGGCTGGATGGGGCTGTGAGCAGCGGTGTCCTGCGGTGCCGGAGGCGGCTCGCACGGGGACAGCGCAGAGGGCCTCCCGTCCAGCTTCTGTGGGGTAGCCGCCGGGCCCTGAGGGTCTGGGAAGCCTCATTGTGCTCCGACAGGCGTTTCCTCTGCACTTCACAGCAGTTTGTTAAAAGGCCCGCAACACATTTTTGGACCAAAAGGCGCAGTGCCCGGCAGGAGCGCCCTCAGTGAGGCTGGGTGGGCCTGAGGGCCAGGCCCCAGCATCAGGGCCCTTGCCCCAAGCAAGGCCTGCATATCTGGGCTGCAGCATGGCCAGCACCCCTCGCACCCCTTGCACCCCCCCCACACTCAGCCAGCCTTGAGGCTCTCCTGCTGGCTGCTCACGCACCGAAATGCCCTCTCGCTCAAGGCCCAGCTCAGGGCCAAACCTGAGGGCCGCATGCACAGGACTGAACACTCGGCCCACATGGAGCGGGGGGTGGGGGAGGGAGCCAGGCTGCCGGGCACTGACTGCCTGCTCTGCCACTGGCGACATCTTGGCCAAGTCGTGAAGCTCCCCGTGCCTCAGTTTCCTCGCCTGTTACTGGTGGGTGAGCCGGTTGAAAGGGTGGTTGGAGGGGCTCAGTGAGCCAGCGTGGACGGGCGGCATCCCCAGGGCTTCGGTGACTAGTGCTCAGAGCAGGCACGTGCCCTTTCGCGCTCACCCGGGGCCTGAGCCAGGCCGAGCCCTGGGCCAGCCGGCAGCGCAGCCCCACCGCCTGCCCATGCCGCCGCAGGTCCGAGGCTGCCAGCAGCGTGCTGAGGAAGACGGCCGCACGGGAGCACTCCTACGTCCTGTCGGCAGCCAAGAAGAGTTCGGGGTGAGTTGCAGCGCAGGACACGACCGCCTCCATGCCCGGGAGGGTTGAAAGGGCCCACCGCGGGGCCTCCTGGGCTTCTCAGATGCGCTTTCTGGAAACCGGAGGCCTGGCTCCGCCATCGGGCCCGGCAGTAGGGGGCGTCCGGGGCACCGCCCACATGTCGGCTCTGTCTCTCCCAGCAGCCCTGCCCCGGAGACGCAAGCGCCAGTCATCGCTAAGAGGCAAGTCGCCAACGGAAGGCCTCCCGTGGCAGGGTGGGCGGGGCTCCGGGCACAGTGGGGTGCGGTCCATGAGCTGGCGCACTGGTGCGGGACTGCGGCTGCTGTCTCGACACCGCCGAGTCTGGGGCCTGTGATGGTACGTGAGGCCACGACAGCCAGTGCTGTGTAGTTGGGAGCCTGACTTTGAGAACAGTTTGTGGCCAGAAACTTCCAGTTGCCTATGCCTAATAGCACTAGGCCCCTGCCCTGAGGCGGAGCCCTGGAGTTTGCCAAGGCCTCTGGGCTGGGAAGCTGAAGGAGTCTCCCCTGGCCCTCCCTCCCAACCAGGCAGGCACGGCTGTACGATGTCCTGCAAGAGGGGCCACTGGCCTAGGGGACAGACACTTGTCACTGGGAGCCCTTGCCTGGCCAGGCTCTTGGAGGTGACCATGACATTGGAGACCAGGGTACATGGTCAGGACATCGGGACACTCTGGCTGGGGAGGAGGGACATGTCACCGTTAGATGGCACCTCTGGAGGGGACTGCTTGGGAAAGGCAAAGAAGAAATGGGGAAGTTAGCTTTCAGGAACATTCTACCGCACGGGCAGGGAAGCCTCTGTGACAAGGTGTCCGCGAGCCCAATACTGAGAACGAGGGCCCTCGTGTGCCAGCACCCGTCGTTAGCTGCGCCCATCAGCCTCTCTGGCCCCGCCTCCCTCCGCTTGCTCCGCCCGGTCCTCTGCCCGGCGCTCAGGCAGCGTGCTGTCCCCGGTCCTGCTTCTGTCTGGAGACTCAGGGTCACTACCTGTCCTGGCCTGACTCGGCCTCTGCGTCACGGCAGGCCTTGCTGCCCTGGTGTGGACACGCGGCTCCGAGCGCCCCCCTTTCCTCGGGGCCCCACGCCCCCTCGCCCTCAGACACCGCTCAGCGGGTCGGGCCTGCCCGCCCCGGGCCTGCCCTCAGCTCCGGGACACCTGCGCCGACCCTGTCTGCAAACAGGCTCGCAGGCGCGAGCCCCAGGAGTCTGGGGAGACGCTTTCAACCCAGGGTGCTGCCCTCACCAAACTGGAGTCGCCGAGCCCCTAGCCTGGCACAGGAAGCAAGCTCCAGACAGCTAAGCTGGGGCGTGTTTTTCTTTTCCCCCAAAGGGTTGAGGTGTTGGACGAGGACGGACACTCTGAGAAGCAGCAGGACGCACCCACGGTGATGAAACCCGTCCCGGCCTCGAGCAGGTACCGCTCGCTCATGTCCAGCCTGAGCTGCGACTGCCAGGTTGCGGGGTCAGTCCCCAGCACCCAGTGACAGGAGGGTCACAGCAGGCAGGAAAGCCTGATTGGGTGCTGTTGGTGAAAGGAGCAACATGGCCTGGCGGGGGGGAGAGAGCTTCCTCCGGTCTGCTCAGTGCACCTCTGCACCCCTCGAGCCCTGTGGCCGCAACAGAAAAGCCACCTGCCGTGGTGCTGTGCCAGCCTGCCCCGGGCACTGGGCCTGGCCTCACAGGCAAGTTGCCAGCCCCTGACCACGGGTTGCTCGCCACACGGAGGGACGCTGAATGCCCCGTGCCACTCACAGTGCCTTCTTTGCCAGTGTGGACGGGGGCAGAGCCAAGGTGAGCATGGGCCGAGTGTGCCCAGCACCCCCGGGAGCCGGAAGCCCAGGTGGGTGCCACAGGCTGGCTCCAGGCCAAGAACAGGAACCAGGCCCAGGTTGGGGCTGGCAGCAGCATGGGGCAGAGGCAGCCTGGTGTCCGGCAGGTACCAGGACCTGTCGGGTGTGCCCTCCACACTGACCTGGCTCGTCCCGGGACCTGGAGCGGGAGCTTGGTGGGGTCCGGGGTTGCCAAGGGTTGTGCCCCGGCTCGTGCAGGATGCCAAGGCCGGAGGGCAGCGCGTGTGTCCCCACGGGTCACCTTCAGGGGGCTGCTGCCCCAGGGACTGCTCTGCTCTCCTCCAGCCATGGCCAGCCCTCGTTTCTCTCCCAACTCAAGTCCCACTGTTGTCTGGAGCCACGTGGCCTCGGGCCTCAGGCCACCTGTTCTGCACCTGAGGGTGCAGGCCGCTGGAGGTCCCAGAGCTCCCCACCCAGCACTATGGACTGGGGGCGCCCGGGCAGGGGCCGCAGGGTGCTCTCCTCTTACTCCTGCCTCTCTGGGTTCTTCCCATGTGTCTGAGCTTCTGGCTGTAAGAACACTTCGAGGGCAAGCATCGGGTGCCCTTCCGCAGGGCATGGGGGCAGTGGAGGGTCCCAGCTTGGTCCTGTGGGCACTATCCTGTGCCAGTCCCTCTGCTGAGCAAGCTGGGCCCTTGTCCTCAGGCAGAAGGAGCCACCTGCCGCCCTTGAGGGCAATGTGGCTGTGGGCACCCTCCCAGCCTGGGCCCCCAGCAGATGAGGCCTGTGCTCTGTAGCAGAGGCTGCCCTGGGTCTGGTGCCCACTGTGGGGACCACACTGTGTTCCTGGGTGCCAGCAGCCCGCCAAGCAGAGGACGTCAGGCTGAAGGGGAGCAGGCAGCGGGCTATGGGGAGCCTAGTAGGCCCCGTGGGAGTTTCCCGGGGCTCCCATAGCAAGGCATCCGAAAGTGGGGTGTGTAGACAACAGTGACTTAGCCTGGCCCGGTTCTGAAGGCCGTCGCTTCCGCTGTTGCCGGCCATGTGTTTCTGGCCTTGGAGCGACTTCGCTGTGCCGGCAGAGACGCACGCGCCGGCCTTCTCCCTGCGCCTGTCTGTCCGTGTCCAGAGTCTCCTCTCCTGAGAACAGCCGTCAGATTGGAGCAGGGCCACCCCGTACGAGGCGCCCCCTCTCCCCGGCCCCGCGTGCCAGGGGCCGCACCCACACTGCGGCGGGCAGGCAGAGCTCACCGCTTTCTGGCGCGGGGCCTGGCCCTGGCCCTGGCTGGCCCTCCCACTTCCTTTGCTCGCCTCCCGCCTGCCGGGTCGCAGGCAGGTGGTGACCTGGCCTTCACGGGCGGGCTCTCGGCCTCAGCTGACATGAGACATCCCCAGGTCCACCCAGAGCAGGGCTGTGCCTCACGGCCTGCGGTGCCTTTCTAAAGAGCCAGTCTGATGGCATCAGTCTCCTCGCCCCCCTTCGAGTTCACCTCATAGCTTCTTTTTGCCGTCCGACTTGAGGCCCACCTGCACACTGTGCCTCACCTCCCACCAGCTTCCCTTGCCAGGCCGAGTCTGCACAACGCTTCTCGGTGTCCTGGTTGGGCCTGTGGAGGCTCCCAGCCTGGCAGTCATTGCTGCAGCCACTGCCCCCCCCCACCCCCCCAGGCTGGGGCTTTGCCACAGCAGCGCAGCACGGGCCAGCTGAAGGAAGGACAGGGACCGGAGCCATCTCGCCACCTCGGCTGCCCTCCAGGGTGCCGAGGCCTCGCTCTCTGCGCGGGGAGCTGTGGCTTTTGGTGCCACAAAGCAGGGAGCACTCGCTTCCTCCAGCCCTCGGCCACCAACGTGCCCCAAGACGGCTGGGGCAGGCCTGTGGTGTGGCCAAGGAGTCGTGGGGCTCCGAGCACAGGGCTGCCAGAGGGCCCTTCAGGACTGACAGGTCTGCCCCTTGATGGGCTCGGCCCTGGGCACCTGGCCACCTGACTTTATCCGCTGAGTCTCCAGTGTCCCCATTGCACCAGCTCTTAGGTCCAGCCTAGGCTGCTGGTGTCCTGGGCACGTTGAACCCACGTCGATGTGCCCTGGGGGCTGAGGCAGGCTGGGTGCTGAGGGGTCACCAGCAGCACAGTGGCAGCTGCAGGCAGGTGCCAGGGCTGGGCCCTGGGACTTCCCCTCAGAAGGCCTCTGGCTGTGCCGGAAGCAGTGGGGCTGGGGCTGGACACTGTGCACGCCCAGGCTAACGAGGAGACAGGACCAAAAGAAAGGCACTGGGTGCAGTCGGCCTGCTGTCCTGGGGAGACAGGGAGGGCGCTTCTCCCACCGGCTGCTCTGGCTCTCTCCTCTGGCTGCAGCACTAGAGGTGAGGAGACTGTCTGCCTGCCCAGTGTGACGCCTGGGGCGGGGCTCCGCTGGCCCCAGACCCAGGAACAAGGAGGTACCGGGCGAAGGCTCCTCCCACGCCATCCTGGGGGCGGGGCAGTGGCCAGGATGCCGGGGCTGCTCCGTGGGAGACGTGGTCTGCAGTTCTCTGCTCCCATGTCTGTCTGGCACTCCCTGGCCCTTAGGGGAAAATCCTGGTCTGTGGGAGTCCAGGCGGGCCCTGGGGAGTCCGTGGGGACCGCCCCAGGCCAGCATAGTGGACCTGCCTGGGTGGAGGGCCATGGTGGGCACTGTGAGCGGAGTGGATCCAGCCTGGCTGAGCCACAAGGCGGACTGGCAGCCGGGTGGGCCCGGCCTGCTGCGCCCCGCCCTGCCCGTGTGAGGGGCCACTGGGAACAGGGCCAGGCCTCACGGTGCCCCCGTGCCCCCATGCGGAGGAGGGGGAGGGATGCTGGCACCACCAGCGGGGCTCAGCAGGCCCAGCTCCTGACCGGGAGGGGTAGCAGGCCAGGAAAGACTGGGGGACTGCGAGCTGGGCCCAAGGGAAACCACGGCAAGAGCAAGGCGAGATGGCAGAGGGAAGGCCACTGTCCCCGGAGGGGCGGGCGCTTGCTGAGCACCCCTGGGCACCTGCGGCCACCACCCCACTTCGGGGGCGGCCTGGGGTAGGTCCCTCAACTCTTGTCCCTGGCTGCCCCCCACCTACAAGTGGGTGCCAGTCTGCTCGTCGTGTACTTGGGGGGCCTGGCCCTCCTGCCCCCCCAGAGGGGAGCGCGCCTCCAACAGAAATGCAAAGCTGCATCTGCCCGCGACAAAGCCTCTTCGTGCTCAGCCAACTGCAGTCAAGTCCGTATTTTCCCCCCAACCCTTCGCCCACAACATTTAGCTTCTTTGTTGGCAACGCTGGCCCCCACCGCTAACAGAACCTCCTTAATCAGCGAGGCTGGTTGGAGTCCTTCTCCTGCCTCCTAGACAATCAGAGTCAGGAAAGCTGATTTCTCTGACCCGTGCAGCCGAGACCCCGGGGCTCGGTGCCATCCTCACGGAGCAGTGACTTCAGGGCGAGCTGAGGGAGGCCTGGATCTGGTGCCCTTGGCCTCATGACCCCGAGAAGGCACTGAGCCGCCGCTGTCCCTTGCCACACCTGCCGCCGTCTGATTGTCCCGGGGCAAAGTGGGAGGGGTGCTGTCAGGGCCTCAGCGGCAGAGGCCTTCTGGGCTCTGGACACAGAGGGATTCTGATGGTGGACTAAGAAATGCCGAGGGCAAGAGTGGCCCCGCGGAGGCCCAGAGTGGGGTGCAGGGGCAGAGCCAGGGGCAGAGCAAATTCAGAGCCTGAGCAAGGGAGGCCGCTGCAGGGTCCCCCGGGCACGGGCGTTGACGTGACTACTTCTGCCCTTTAAAACGCAGCCCAGGTAGAGGACAGGGGGACACGTGGGGCACACTGCAGACCGCTGGTCGGGGTCGATGGAGGCCCGCACTGGGCAGGGCCGGGCCCCAAGTACACAACAAACAGACCGGCACCCACTTGGAGGTGGGGAGCAGCCAGCGGCAAGAGTTGAGGGGCCTAGAGGGTCCCTCAGGAGTCCCCTTCGTGTCCCTTCCCGAGCCGGGCCCGCGCGTGGGGGCGAGAGGCGGCTGCCGGGAGCTCTCACCTGCCGTTTGATTTGCGCACTAATGACAGGAGTGGCCCTCTGGGCTGGACACCATGGGGGCCGCCTGAGGACCCCACAGAGAACAGAGATCAGATTAGGCGGGGGGTCTGCCTTGTGCCACGCAGCCAGACAGGTCTCTCGGACACTCCTCTGGCAGGGGCGCGGCCAGCAGTGCCCAAGTTCTGGGGGTGATGTGGACGGTGAGTCTGAGGCACCTGCGTGCCTGTGGGGGCAGTTACTGCAGCTCCACATGCCAGTTGCCTTCGAGGGGCTTAAAAGCTGATACTGGAGGGCTGGCCGGTCCTCAACATGTCCTCAGTGACAGCCGTTGCAGCCTGAGGGTCAGGGCCCGGCGTGCAGTGGCTTGTGCTTTAGCGGCCGCCTCCTTCCTTCACAGGTCTCCCCTGCGCCCCAAAGACAAGGAAGGTCCCAGTCCCGGAGAGCCCGTGAGAGACTTGGCAGGCGAGGAGGCTTTCAAGGTCCTGGACCCAGACTCAGCAAGGTGACCCAGCGCGGGGCCACAGAGCCAGGGCTGCCATGTGCGCATGTCCCGCGGGTAGTGAGTGTCTTCCCGGAACAGCAGCCCTCGCCGCCCTCCAGCATTCTGTCCAGGGTGGGGCCCAGGAGCCCCCTGCTGCTTTCACCACATCCCCACTACCACCTGGAGCCAGACCCGGCTTCCGCAGCTGGGGCGTCGTCCTTGGCAGAAAGGGCCAGGAGGCCCAGTCGCTGACCCCCGTCCTCGGCAGCTCCAAGGACAGGTCCCTGGCCCGGAGCCTCGTTCCCTGAGGCACCTTAGGATGTAGATGGCGCTGTGCTCGGGCAAGCCCCGCGTCTGCCGGACTCAGGGCCCTCTCCGGGGGAGCAGGCACACAGGCGCGAGGTCCTGCACCCACCCGGCTGACTTCCTCCCACAGGCTGTGCTTAGCAGGGGGCTCCGGCCCTCTCCCAGACGAGGACATGCGCGGTGCCGACTCTCAGCCCTGCAAGCCCGGACCAGTGGCCACCAGGTAAGTGGAGGGGACAACTGTCCAGTGAACCTTTGGGGTTCACCTTCAATTCCCACGCCCAGGATCCCTCTTGAGCTCCATGGCACTGTCACATCAGGTGATCACAGCCAAACAGGGAAGGCTGAATGTCCCTGACCTGGATCCGGACCTGCCCACTAGTGAGTGGAGCGGAGGGGACAGGCAGTAAGTCAGGGGACCCAGCACCAACCCCAGGGCCCGCAGAGGAAGCAGCGGGGAGGACACTGGAGACAGTGGGGAGAGATGCTGTTACCAGGCCCCTGGGCTTCCTCCTGCAAGGACTGTGGCCGACGGCTGGCCGGCAGGAGGCAGGGAGGACTCCATTCCAGAGCACCGGTGGGCGGCTGGGAGGGCGGGGACTCCAGGGTTTTGAGGTGCTTCGGCTTCATTCCCTTTCATCTGCAGACCACTGGTGCGTGTGGCCATTGCAGGGGCGGTGGAGCAGTTAGAGGCTCGCTCTCTCTGGCCTCCTGCAGAGCCTTGGGGGCATAGGTCAGGCGGGCTCAGAAACCCAGCACCAGGAGGAGGCACCCTGGGTGCAGTCTCAATGGGGGCGGTGCTTGGTCTTCACTCGGGGGGACCATGCAGGGTTCAGGTGTCACCGCACGAATGCGGGACAGAGAGCAGCCTTCACTGACGTCGGTCCCCTTCTCTGTGAGAAGGCAGCTGAGCCGCCAGGTGCCTTCAGTCTGAGGCCTCAGCAAGCCTGTGTGCTTCTTCCCTTAGCTCTGGGGCCACCTTGGCCTCAGCCATCTTGACTGACGGGAAGAGTGGCAGCCTGGCACACCCGGAGGAAGCAGAGGCAGACCGGAAGGGGTAAGGCACCCGCCCACGGTGCTGGGCTTCGTAGTAGAGAGGGGCGGCCCAGGGTGCACTAGCCTTTAGCTGGAATGTGAGGCCAGCAAGACCCACGAGCTGGCCTGGGCATGCAGGGAGGCTGGAAGCCTCAGCTGGAACTCTGGGGCCCCAGAGCTTTCCACTACACCTGTTGCCCCCAGCCAGAAAGTCCTCCGTATGAGAGCGTGGCCGACTCTCTGTCACCTGCTCTGATGACCCGTGCCCTGTGCTGGAGGCTGCAGGACACAGGCGGTGCAGACATCGCTGATGAGACAGCCCTGGTACGGACTGGAATAACACATCAGGCTAGCACAGGGGTGGGGGTGGCAGGAGGCTTCATGGCGGTGGTGACTTTTAGGCCGAATTTTGAAAGGTAAATAGGAGTCCGCCAAGCGAAGGGAGCAGGATACGGGCATCCGAAGCCCCTGGCGTTCTCTGGGCACTCTGAGGAGCTAAGTGGGGCTGGTGCTCGGGGCAGTGCTGGAACAGCAGCCTCGTCTAAGTAGGGAGGTGCCACTGGCTTCTGTGCCAGAAACTGTGAATGAGCCCAGCGGCGTGTGGCCTCTGCACAGTGCACTGTGGCAGGCATCTAGACAGCGAAGAGCCAAAACCGGTCTTGCGAAGCCACGATAAAGAGGCTGGATTGTACTTCATGCTTTGAGCCAAAGAGGAGGTATTTAAAAGGTGGGTTCATTACAGGGCACCCCCATGTGAACTGGGTGGCCTGACTGTGCGTCCTCACCTGTGTGCTTCAAAGATTCAACTGCAGGCACACACAGAAGGTTCATCATGGCTTTGTTTACAAGAGAGGGAAATGAATAAGTCAGGGGAGGAGACAGATAAGTTGGTGAATGCGTCCTACCAACTCTGCTGACCAGTTCTGCTACTGGGAACCCCAGTAGCACGTTGAGAGCCAGCCAAAAGCCAAGAGACAAGGCACGAGCCATGAGGCCAAGTGACCCCCAAAGCCCACACATCTGGTTTTTATAGCCAGACAATGGCTGCTAAATTTCACCCTCGGTCCTAGCAGCGTCCCTTTGGTGATGCTGGATTTGTAGTTCCGGGGTCTGGGGAGGGTCCACAACACCTGCATCTGTAGCATCGTTTCAGGACACCCCGTAACACAAGCACTTTGCTGCTTTCACACCACCGTGCAGTTACTTTAGTACACACGTCACCGCATTTAAACCAAGATGCTGGAGGGCAGGGTACAATGAGTCTGTTCATTTACGTGACCTTATTGTGTGACTTTCTTTGCTTCGAGTTTATGTGAATTAACAAAGTTGTAAGATACATCCGTAGTGTGCTCGGAGAGGTGCTTTGCAGTGTTCCCAGCAACCCTGTAAAATGGGTGAGGGGAAACTAAGATATGGAAAGGTTAAGTGATTTGCCCAAGGGCTTATAGCTGCCATCACTGAGGCCGAAGGCAGGAAGCTCCTAGAATAACCTGGAAACCCAGAAACAACAATCAGTGGGTTGACATGCGGAGCACTGTGTTCGCCCTCTGGTCCACTATTCTCCAGGCCTGGGGAGGATCCGGCTTCATATGCCCTTTGACAGTGAAGACAACTGACTGCCGCTCCTGTGAGGAGCTGGGCGAGCAAAGGAACCCAGATTGTGCCAGCTCGAGCACCCAGGGTGGGATGTCCTTTCCCAATGTGTAAGTTCACAAGAGCGCCAGCCCAGTCAGTGTCGCGGTGCTCTGGCTGCATGTGAGGGCCCGCGGCTTGCGGAGCCCCAGGCCGACACTTGGGTTTTACTGTTCTGGGTGGTCCCACCATGCAAGTTTTCCTGAGTTCCCAGTTTATCTCATACCCAGTCTAGGGAGAATCACCCCAGCAGGGCAGTGGTTCGAGGCCAGATCACGTCGCCGCCTGCAGCGCTGCCCTGGCAATGCGCAGACACCCTGGATGCTCACAGGGCGGCGCTATTGGCATCTAGTGGCGGACACCGGGGCGATGCTGCCCAGTATCGGACAGCGCACAATTACCCAGTCCAAGGTTACTATGACGCCGGGCTTGACCAGCCCTATTGTTGAACTTCCATGACGTCTGTGTGAAGGCAGGAGATGGCAGAACGGGGAAAAAAGAAGACCCCACCGCCCCGACAGCTAGGCGAGCGCAAACGAGTGCGCCTGCGCGCACGCATGCGCCCAGTCTAGTGCGAGACGGCAAGTCTGCGCCTGAGCAAGCGCCGGTGCGCCGCGGACTCGGGTTCCCCGAGGCTCTCGAGCGTCCGGCGCGTGTGCGCCTGCGCCCACCGCCATTTCCTGCAGCCCGAGCGCGGGGCGCGGTGCTTGTCGGGTAAAGCGACGCCTCCCCGCGAAATGGCTGTC